TTGCCATCTCCTGGCTGCAGATACATATTCACTCTCTCATGGACCTTACTCAGTGAAAGAGTCCATTTGTACACTATCAAAAATGCTGTCATATTCTGTCAAAATAAGTTTCTGTTTTATTGTAGGGTTTAACGTTGCATTAATAATACTAATAAGAATCGGTTGTAAGGGTGAATTCTCAGTAACCACAAAGAAAGCACACATGCACAGTGTGATACTGTTGGATGCATGTTAAACATGTATGCATGGACAGCACCTACGAAACCTATAGAAGCCAGAGACAATATGGTGTCATGCCATTACATACTAGAAGCTCCAGGCCAATCTGTGACAAGACACAGCCTCTCTCATTACAACAAGATCAGACTACTGCTGCAGCAGTTATGGCCTTTCAAAGTTTGAAGTTTTGACATTTAATTAAAGCATCCCCAACAGGCAACTCGCTGTATTTTCAAGATGCTAGAACACTGCAAAATACATTACTGGAAGGATGATTGTTTGAGCCAACAGGCCAGCAGCATTAGTAGCTTTGTATCTTTAAGCTGAATTGATATCATAGTCTTGAAACATTAGCAAGAGATAACTGTGAAAAATGTGAACTTTTGTACCTACAGTGTTGTATGAATCTGTACTGTGATGTCTAACCCACAGCTAATGCTGCATGTTTAGGATGTGAGCTGCATGCATGATCTAATCTGACACAATCTATATGTTTCTTCAGTATGTAATCTTTCTGGTGAGATTGTGATACCCCTCAGCTCATGCAGTCCATATAGTAAACGCACTAGCAGCAGCAGTTGAGGAGCAGTTCATTTTGCACAGACACAGCAGGTAGCGATATCCTTCAGAGGACTACTTGTTATTTGTAGTCTTAGTATTAGAGAGGGAAATAGAAAAGAGGGGCAAACATTTCAAAGATCTATCGTAGCATTGTGGCCACTCTTTCAGAGGTAGTTTGGCATTTACTCTACAATTGAAACATTTCATTTCTTTTTATTTGTTGTGGGGAATTGTTGCAAACTAAACTGATCTAATCCTTTTTGATATTAAAATGTTTTTTTTTGTTTTTTTCAACTGCAGACCTTTTGGGGATTTATCATTAAAATACATGCAATAATGTTCACTGATGTAATAAAGCCAGTGAAGAAGGCTCATTTTCCTGTCTATTTCACACAATCTGAATTTCACTGCAACAAATGGAGTTACTCCCTGTTGGCCATTAGAAATAATGCAGGTTTAAGACACTACTGCATTGGCTCCACCTTTATAAGCAGAAGCTATGTCCATTTCTTATATAGAGTCAATGCTTAAACACATTTATTTTATTACATTTTGGATAGTCATCTGTCATTCTGTATTTAGAAGCCTGTCTTTGAGTGAGACCAGGCCAAGGGAAGAACCAAAATAGAAATCAATTGAAACATCTGCACGTTGTGATGAAGCTAACACATCAGTGAAAAACAACAGGCAGAAATGTCGCCAATAACCTAACCTAACTAACCAATTTGCCTCAGTACAGAATAAAACCTAAACAGTCACATCTTAAAGCCAGCCTGCTGCACTAAATGTCTGTGTGTTTGTTTGTGTGCATCTGTGTCTATATCCCTGCCATCCCCAAGAACATACCATGTGGCACCAGAGCAGCCTATCACAAGAGGGAGACAGTTGCCGTGCTCCTGGATGCAGTGAAGGGAGCTGTCCGTTTCAGCACCACGAAGAGGCAGCAGTAACCATGGTGCCCTGTGAGGATGAACAGGATGTGACTAATGAAACACAAACAAACAAAACACACAAGAACATTTTTTTTTTACATAAACTTCAGAATTCATCTAAATATATTATTTAAAACATTACAAAAAATCTGTCAAATCCAGAAGAGGTCTAAATGTATTCAGATTCTCGCACTATATTTCCATCTAAATGGGCCACTGATGCCTACTTTTTGCATTTTTAAAGTTCTTATAATGAATAAATCTTGCTTTCTGATAATCAATGCACATTTCGGTAGTTGTGACACTGTCAGAATCATTGCTGTCTCTGCTTGGCGAGGGGATTTGAAACATACGACTGTGTCAAACATACAGTGCATGGATCACTGGGCTTTACAAGCTAACCTATCTATTTGTGTTGAACCCATCCGAGCCCGTCACTGCTCGGTCAGGTGTTTTACTCTCGCTGCTCATCCCTTTCATCATCTGCACCTCTTATCACCCCCGCCAGGAAATTAAAATACACCTCAGTCTGTTAATAACCAACTGATGATAATAAAGTGACACCTTATTGATCCCTGTCAGAGAATTGTCTTTTTCAAGCCCCACCTTCAAAGAGGAGGTCAGAGGTTGAATGTCACGCTGTGGTGCCTTAATACTTCAAGACTCTTCTGCAGATTTTCAAACGTTTTTTTTTTTTTAGCATAACTGTTTGTCCTGTATGTTTCCATTAAAAAACACAACATCAAAAATCATTTGATCTAAGCCTGGATTCCTAAGAGAGGGAAACTGTACTTTGAAAAATATCTGCCCCATAAAGAATCTTTGCTCTGCATTCAGATTGAATTTGAAAAGGTTCGCATTGATGTCAAACTTTCTGAAGACTTTTAAGGGTTTGTGGGCATAAGGAATGTTTATGTTTTCATTCAAAAGCTAAGAAAATACATAGGGATACCATTCTGAAGTACCATACAGTAATTTAAAACTTTAAATTTGACAACAATCCAAAATAAAAATGAAAAGACATTGTCCTCTAAATTTACACCAAACTTTGGTTTCTGGTGGTTTGAGACCTTTGGAAAGAAAATATTTATTTTGCAGGTTGGTACTTCCTTGACAATATTTGAGTTTTATTTAAAACAACAAATAAACAAGTATTCATTTTTCAAAAACTCTTTAAGACGGTTTCCTGTCTATGGTCCTACAATGATGTCTGACTACTTCTCTATCTAAATCTAAAATACATAATTGTATCATAAAGATTATTTTCTCTCAATTAATGGTTATTTTTGTGTTTTTTTTCCATTTTATAATCTAATCTTACAACATTTGAATTCATCTTTTTTTTTTACTGTGTTCTCACATTGTTTCAATGCATGTCCTTATATTACATGATTTAAACTTCTTTGTTTGCAAGATGCTATACTGATAAAGTAGCCTCTCTTTGCTTTAATTTCGGAATAATTATCAATATATTTGACTCTTGCTGATGGAGCACGTGTTCTCTTTTTTCGAACAAACCACAGTGTCTTCTGTTCAAAAGAATGAAACAACATATGATTAGTTTAAGATTAATTGACTTGTTGAAAATAACTTTTTTTGCAGTGCGCTTGTTTTTGCGTAAAGTGCTGCTGCTGCTGCTGTGCATGGAACATCTCCCTCTCTCCTCTCTCGCTCTCTCCCTCTCTCTCTCCCTCGCTCCCTCGTTGTGTCGATTTTTTTTCATCCTCTGCCTCTAACCATCATCCACCCCCTCCTCCTCCTCTTCTCTCTCCACTTCTATCTCAGCTCTGCGAAGAAGAAAAACGCGGAAACCAAGGATTGATGTGTTGCTCGGCTTGACATTTTATACATATTTGCGCACAAAATCCCCAACGCTTGACAGCTTTGCGAACAAATACTAACACCGCTTTTTACGATTTCTGATGATTTTCATGTCATGACACTAGACGGCTGTGTATGTACATGCGTCCGTTGTGCTCGGGGTGGCCGTGATATAACCGTGTAGGATCGTGTGGATGCTGGGGGAAGAGGCTCTGACGCTCCGGGGAGCTTCGACCAACCCTCCGTGTCGTCCTTGTTCCTGCGACCGGCTGCATGACCGGTGATGCTCGGGCTCTTCGCCTGGATGCGACCCTCTCTCCGCGGTGTGCCGTCGGTACCGCTGCCTGTATCCCCCCATAGCAGATTTCCACTGTCGCCGGAGAAAGGTCTAGGGACCACATATGGAAACTGGGGATCAGAATTTTAGGAAAAGGGAAACTAAGCAGGCTGTCGTTTGATTTTCACAAGTTAATTTTTCCTGCTCCTTTTGGCTTGATTTTTCGTTTTATTTGAAGAGAGGGGTTGATCGTCCTTGGTTGGTTTATATTTCCTTCATCTCTTAAGGAATGTTATCATGGCAGTCATGGTAATGGCTAATTGTTTGCCATTTCTTACCATTCTTTCCTTGATTTTGGGGGAGCGCTTGATTCTGCTGGTTTGAATTTGTTCTTTTACACCTAGTCCTTTTTTCCAATATTTTCAGCCCTGTCTGTCTGTCTTGCCTGTCTCCCATCATCCTCTTCCCTATATAGGAATACATGTGATAGCGTGATTCCTCAGAAATGCCTGAGATGAGCCTCCATAACTCACTGTTCCACTGTGTTACATCAAGGTAGTCAGATCTCACCTCAATCGTTTCATCTGTTTCGGTCTCTACATTTTGCCTTTTTTTTTGTGGCTGATTTGAAGAAGTCAACTGTGTTAGTCTTAACCACCCTCCACCCCCCACAACCTGGTGTTTCTTCATGTTTCTGTATGAATTAATTCACACTGCATGCATGTGTGTGCTTGTCCGTGTGCTGATGTGAGCCTGAAAATGACAGTAGGAGGCTGTGTGGGAAAAATATCAAGCGCTACATGCACATCATTCTATTTATCACCGTCAAAGCTGTGAGGATTGTAATACGTGCAGCTGCTTTTGTCAGCTCAGAAGGCCAAATTCAGGCCTGAAAAAAAGATCAAATAGAAACAGAGAAAAATCCTCCATCTTCTCATTATTTCGGCCTTTTTCAGAGTTTGACATTTAGAGGCAAAGTAGGCCTAGATCCTGGACCAGTGCTCCTGTGGGATCTGCAAGAAGCCTGTGTTTTTAGGTCAAGATTTTGATTCAAGAGAAGGGCAACTTCCTGCCACCTGAGGACCAGAACTTCGAAAAGCTCCTAGCCAAAGACCTTTTGACCTGTCTTTTGGGTCAAACAGCCAACCCTAAACCTATACTCTCATCTTAATTTTCACCTGTTTGTTGTCCCACCCCAAAACCAACCATACGATTTCCCCCGAGCTCCCCTAATTCCCCTGCCCCCCCAGCGGCCCCCCGCTACCGTCGTCCGCCCGACATCGCCCACCCCCCATTTTCCGAGCTGGCGTGGCGACGCAAACTCACAAATATTTACTTCCTGTACATCAAGAGGAAAGGGGGCTCCCCTTTCGTGGAATGCGGCAACATGGGCGTTTTTGACCGCGGAGTTCAGATGCTGCTGACCACGGTAGGGGCCTTCGCCGCCTTCAGCCTTATGACCATCGCCGTGGGGACAGACTACTGGCTGTACTCGCGCGGAGTCTGCAAGATCAAGAGCAACAACGAGAACGAGACCAGCAAGAAGAACGAGGAGGTGATGACGCACTCGGGCCTCTGGAGGACCTGCTGCCTGGAAGGTGAGCCACAGATGTTCTGCTGAGGCCATATATACATGCACAGATACACCAACGACACACCGGGCTCAGGCACACAGGCAGATCGATCCCTATGTGCCCACACACACATACACAAAGTCTTGCATTTGCACTTACATGCCTACACATACGCTTGCATGCCCACACTATTCTGTATGTACTCTGGATCCATTTCCACACCTGAAAATGCTCACTCTCCGTAACCTACACACATCTATCTATCTATCTATCTATCTATCGATCTATCTATCTATCTATCTATCTGCTTGGAAAACTTGCGCGGACATGTATAACAATGAATGCAGCTTCTTCTGAACAGGTGTTATTGATAAAGTTTGACTTTCTAGCTTGTTCAGGGTTTTGATTTTGGCCAGTGTGCAGATTGTTTTTTTAAATGTCCCCACAGAGACCAGCTTCACCACACTTACAACACTTTTCAGCCTGTTAGTGCTGTCGTTGTACAGAGATTGTGGTTGTATACATGTAGAAGACAGAATGCTATAGATGTCTGCTGCTGGTTGAACTTTATTGATGTATATGTCCACTAGAATTATATCACACACCTCTCAAATCTGTCTTGATTTTACATTCTTTGTCCATGTCTATACAGGGATGTTATCTCTGTAATCCTCCCTGTACTAGACTGGAAGTGTTAGCTGCTACCTGTAGAAGTCTACTGTTGGAACTGAGGAACAACATCCATAATCCTTATTCCTCATTACCAAACTGTCCATCAAAGTTTTACAAAACAAGCCAGATTTATTTATTTTAAGATATTTTTTTAATAATCATTGAGTCAAGCTCTCCTTATTGTTTCTTCAGGGGAAAACACAGTGGTGCCACCTAGTTGCATCTTCTTGGTGTATTGTTTGATTAACCACAGCTGCATTTCAAATTCAAGAACTTTCCCAAGGACTGTGTGTTTCCACTATGGGGACCTATGGGAACCAGGTCCTAAAAATAGACATTTTAACCCCTAAAGGTCCCTGCTGGAAGGGTTGTACTTTTTGAAAGTAATGTACAGGACTTTTGTAGTTGAGACTTGCAGCTCTGAACATTTGTGATTGGCTCGAGATTTTACTGCATCAGAGGACTCTTTCACACTTCAGCAGACCCACCTTTTTAAGGTTCGAGGGTCTTTAAACCTAAGTGGGAATGCAGGCAACAAGTGGCTGCTAGAACCTTTTTATTCCTTGAAAAGTAGCTCATGCTACTCAAAATGCCAGGCACTTTTGCTGCAAATGCAGCACGTTGTATGACTGTAGGTTGAACTGAAAGTTTGAACGTATTTATGTCTGTAACAAATTCAAATGTTGTTCCTTCTTTTTTCAAAAGAAGGGTTTCCACTTTAAAAAAAAATAGGCTCATGCCTGTTTAAAGAAGAACCATATTTGAAGAGTCTCCAAACACTCAGAAATTTGTATTGGCCCATGATGAAGTTGGGGTGTGAATGCACAGCATGCACCCATGTCTTGGACCTTTTTTAAAAACAAAATCAGTAACTAGCATTTTTGTTCCCCACTCTGCAACAGAGACACTTTGCTCACATAAACCTGTCCAAGTCATGATCCTAAAAATAGACATTTAATCCCATAAAAACTGTTACCTTACAATTCAACCTGTTTTTAATTCTTACCTTAACACCATGCCATACTTAAGCCCAAAACCCACCTCAGTTCTGTTTCTCAAAAAAAAAGTAATACACGCACGCACACACACACTCACATATACTGCTGAGGACAAAGGCACACATACGTAGATACTTACACCCGGCCTGTGTGATCCATCTTCAGCATGAATCACTGAACACCCTAGTTCAGATTCACCTGATTCATAGGATGACATAGTTTCAGTGCATTTGTGGTATTTCTCCCATGATTCAGTTGCTTTTTTCAGCGATAACTGCAAGTATATCAGCTCTCTGGTTATTTACAGTAACATGTTGTTTGATGAGAGAAGACAGGGTAAATGGTCTAACATCGACCCACCTACTACCCAAATGCTATGCTTTCTGTTTATGTTTTTGGAGGCTGCTAAACGAATGCCAAATGTTTAGCATTGCATCGTATCCTATCCTATTGTTTCCTTTCCTTTGGTAACGTAGTGTATCAGATCATGTTAGCGTCTGATTGCGGTTGTAGGAATTGTTAATGCATCAAACAATAGCATGTACTGTATGTTAAGTGGAATGACACCCTGCTGAGTCAAAAACTCTTTCTACAGGTTGATGTGTGTCATAATTAGCACCTACCTGTTACTCGTGGACTGTGTGTTTGTGTGGGTGTATTTGAGTTGTGCACACGTGCACATTATCCAGTTATGATGTTGACGCTCTCTCCTGTTGTGACCTCACACTGTCACATTGGTCGGGCCACACAGCTTAATCCTGTCACACACCTGCATCATCGCACCTCTCTGTAACAGTAAGATACAGTAACGTCAGGTGTAATGAGCTCCTCACCTTACATCACCAGCTAGCATTTAGCTGCAGTGGCATGTTTTTAACCTTATGTAGAAGCACAGAGTTGACCAAGATCTTCTAACATAACAACTAAATGGCCATATCTGACATTGCGGTAAAATTAGCATGTTGAAGAGAAGCGCATGACATTTAAATGTTGCATCCTAATCAGATAGTACAAGCTTCAATTTAATGGAAGGTCACTATTCTAAAAAATGACAAATAACCCCTTAATTCATACTATTAGCTGACTGTTTGATATGAATCCCCTTGTGAGGATTGCATTGCTGCTGATATTCTTCCTCGGGTCCACAACAACCTATACAGTGACTGAGTCATGACATCTTACACTTAAAAGCAACAAAACACTAATGATCAGGACAACACTTGTAAAACACCCCCAAATCATTCATATATTGATTTTAATCACATCAATCCACTGCTACAGTAGATAAAAGACAAATTTGTTTGTGCTTCTTCCCCTTCTACAGTAAAATCTGCACTAGACCCTAAAACACTTACATTTAATCTGCATTTTAAACATATTGACAATAAAGCTACAATAAAGCTTTAAACCAGGACAATAATAGAAGACATACCTGGTTTGTTTTCATACGTTTTGATATATGGATCATACACAAGTTAGAAATGGAGAAACACAAGGCTGTTAGCTCTGCCGAGGTAGCACCCATGTCACCTGTCACCACAAAATGAGATAAGCTTAGCTAAGCTTAGATGACATAAGATGAGAAATGATTTGATATAGCCTACTAAAACTTTTTCATAACAATATACATACACATAAATGACATCAAAACCATTTAACCATTTATGACCAAAAACTGGTCTCACAGAAATACTAATAATGATCACAAACTCTAATCAATTAAAATGATGCACCATCAGCAGCATGACAACAAAGTCAAAAGAAGAATGACAGAAGACAAAGGGTTTACTAATGGTTAGTGAACAATGTCACAGTTTGGTTTGTGGCGGCACCAGAAGTTCTTGGTAAGGTTGAGAGGAAAGAGCAAGATAAAGTAAGCACTTAACCCATTGTGCCAACTACAACCCTCTTTCTTTTCATAGACTATTTATAACAAATACATGTACAAAGGGTTCGATACACATTGATATACCTCTGTTCAAGTTAACAAGATTCTGTGGTATCGAGTTTTTTACACAGTGAATAAAATGTTGTAATGAAGAAAACTTTGAACCAAAAACTGAGACCATGAAACAATCAAGAAAAATGTATACCGAGCTAGTAAATCAATGGAGAAGTAGTCTTTATTAATTAAATTTGGATTTATTTTAGTAACTAATGGAATCACCCCCTTGAGGACATTAGAAAGAATGCAAGTTTATGATACTTCAAGATTGACTTACATTTGAAACCCAGAGGCTATACTTTCACATAAAGAGTCTATTATCTTTGTACAACCCACACTAGACTTTGTTAAGGAGAAGTGCGTCCAATGATGATAACATATGTTCTTTACTTATAAGCATGGTAACACAATATATGCCACCATCAAGTAAAGGTCGGTGGCATCCCTTTACAGCAACCCTTGTAGTTAGAAGGTGCAGGTGCCACATAGCCATAGGAAAAGCTGGTAAAGGTAATAAAGCCGCTAAATAGTAGCCATCCCAACCATCGTGTCAGACCTTAAAAAACACAAGCACATGAATACGCTCGTTGCTAATGCTACCCATTTTTAGGACAAGTGGTTGAAATAGCTGAAAACTCCTCATGCTGATTTCCCTCAAAACAAAAACTTTTGTGTGTTGATGCAAAGGGATGCTAACGCTAACTGTGCAATAAGCTTAACAATTAAACGCAGAAAGGACATGAAATATCATGCTAGATACCATGCTCCTTTATCAGTGCACTTAAATGACCAAGAATCAAATGGAGCTAATGATCATCATTTTGTGTGGGGAGGAAAGGTTTGTGATCTGTTGTTTAGCTCATAAAATGTGGGGTGTGAACTTTGAGTACTTGTTCTGTTCATCCAGCATCGTGAACATCCACGCTTCTTCATGATTAGCTGTTCTTATTTGAAATAACCACAGAAGAAAAACAGCTACTTGTTTCACGTCACTGCTCTTTTAAGCTCCGTTCTGCTCTGCTAATTTGGTGCAGGTGTGATGAAAGCTACCTGTGATCAACCATGTGATCGTTTTATGTAATCATATTAAAGAGGAGGTCATAGGAAGAAAACTATTGCTGCAATTTTGGAGCCACACAAACATCGGGATTTTGAGGACAAAATGTTTTTTTTTTGGTTTTTTTCATGGATTCTTGGCAGAGGTTGCAAAATTGTGTCAAATCAAAAACATATTTGTCCATGTGATTGTAGCCCCGCAACTCACTCCATGTGATATGCTTATTACCCTCGCTAAGTGGCTTTACTTTTCACACTCTAAGCTTGCTCTGTGTCCTTGGCACTGGAGATTTTAAATGGTTAAGAGCAAAGAGGAATCTGAGAGGGATCCAGCTCGCTCTGTGTGCATCGCC